AAGGCTAGCATGGCCGGAGGGTGGGTTTGGTTATATGGAGATCGGTGCGCCACAAAAACAAAGACAGAGATAAAAAAAAAAGATGAACCTCATCTGAATGGAATATAAGTAAAGGGAAGGTTGCAAGCCGGTCGGTGATAGTAGCTGTGTGTCTCGTCCGTTCCGGTTCGGACCGTTCGAGTGACATTAGGTCTCTCACAGCAATTACAAAGCAAAAGCTAGCCAAGAACACCAGTGCTCTAGCATAGGACCCGGCTTCGCGTCGGTGGAGCGGGGCACGGGAAAAAAAGCCCACGAAGGACTTAAAAACATGACTGGCAACTTACGATTGATGACTCTGGGCGTAATAATGTTTAAAAAAAAGACAAGGCGGTTAAAAACATCCCAACGTCTCCACTTATCCTCCCCAGCCCGGAGTCCATTTATTCGAATAAGTTTTTGTCACTTTGGGAGGGTCGGCCCCAACGCTTGTTCCAAACCGCGTTTCCACGCTCGATGGGGCGTACCTCGCCCAAACACGTCAAATATCACAAAAAAATGCATCGCATGCAATAAACGGACATATCCAAACTGCGGTTTAATTCTAGCAGATTAATTAACCTCCAATTGTGATCAATAAGAACCTAATACCACACACAACGCTCTACAAAAATTATTTTCCCGCGAAGCACTCACTTGGCTACCAGGAGAATTGGAAATTTCCTAAGTCAGCCACTTTTACTGTAAAATAAACTGGACGATGCGCGCTACACGCAAAGCTAGAATTTTTCTTCATCTTAGACTTATGAGCAAAAGAGTTCACTTCAGCTAATTGGCGACTTCGGGCAGCTAAGCTTTTGTATACCGGAAACTAATATGATTAATTATCACAATAATCATTTTCTCATATGGCAGAGGTGTATTGCTATTTGTTACGCAAAGCGTTTCTAACCAAATGTACTTTATCCTTTCCAAAATGCAATTCTTAATCTCCTCTAGTTTTCTCCTTCTACCCCCCCCCCTCCCCTTTATAAATTGATAACGAACTTTTCCAGACAGCGCGTTCGCTGGGTAAAACGATGACGAGATATTTATCTGCGCACACAATTTGAGGCTCGCACTTCAAAACCCACCCCTTTCCCGCCACGCCACACCACACCACGCCACGCAGGCGCTGTCGTCCCCCACCACCATCCAGCTCACCGGTCTCTCTCTCGCACTCGCAAACAGGCCACACGGAGGTTGCCCGTCGCCGCGTCTCTACTTTCTTTCATTCTTACTTCCCACTCATATTCTCCTCTTATTTTATTTTTTTGTGCCTTCCAATCCTTAATTTTCGGGCGGCGATTGCCGCGCGGGCCCGAGCGGGTTGGGCATGGCGAGACCGCGGCCGCCAATGGGGAGAGCGGGGTGGCTGCGAGGGGTGGGGTCTGCTGTACGGCGGCTCCCCTCCCCCTGCACCGTGCGTCTGAACCTGGAGGGAATAAACAAAAGAGTACAACTGGGACTAAAGAAAAAAAAAGGGGGGGGGGAATGCGCACTGGAAAAAAAATTATTGGCGGAAGCAAAAGTCTGCAAAACGGGACTGTTTTACAGGGAGTCTGGGCCGAGTTCGTTCGCCAGCCCACAACCGCCGCCTCATCGACTTAAGAATACATATCAACAAAAGCATTCCGTCCCAAGGGTGCCATAATTCAAAAGTTTCAGACACACATTTCGAACGTTGGAAAAGAATTAGGCAGGGTATAAGGCGAGAGAGAGAGGGGGAGAGAGAGAGAAGTAGAAGAAGGGCGTTCTTTCTTTAACCCCTTCCCGCCAACGATTTCTTTAATTAAACGGATGCCACGTCGAGGCGGCGAAGGGCGAGTGGGCCCGAAATTAAACAGAAATACTTCTGCCATTCTCCTTTTTTACGGGATTAAAATGTGGCGAAAAAAAAGGTCTCTGTTCGTTGACTAAGCGCTAAGCCAGCTCGCGGGTCAAAGTAATTTTACAAGCGTACAACGACACCTGAACCGTTTTTAAAGCAGGCCTGACATTTTCCGCACTTGGTTTGTTCATTTCATTTTACGCCTGTCTTCGACTAGAACCAGGCGATTAAAGGCAAAACGCAATTGGCCACCGGTTGAGGCAGTAACAGGTGGTCAGCACAGCGGTCAGCGCGGAAGAAGGGTCTGCGTCCACGCCATGGCGGTCATGACCGCGCAGAGGGCGGCGGTGGGTTGGGAGTGCAAGGGGCGGTCGGCGAAACAACGCACATCGAAATAATCGGAAACGAGGAAAAACGGGAAAATTCACCCGTCAACTTCACGGCAAAACCGTGAGCTCAATTTTCAAGCCGACGTTTTCAGAAAGCCGGCCAGCTTGGATTCCTTAAAAAACAAGTTAGGCAACTTGGAAAACATGAAAAGCTGCATGAAAAACATGCAAAATGTACTGGATTTCGAGCTTTAAAATAGACCCTGCTTGGTTTTACTAAAGCTGCTTGATAAACGGTACCTCAGCTTTAAAACCCAGCCCTCGTTTTTGTCGTGTTCACAAAATGGTTGATTGAGCAAATCGAAAATGTGGTGTATATTACTGAGTGGACTCAACTCTATTTTACGGTGATCACCATATTGCCAGATTGCTTAAGAAAAAAATTGCACTTGAGGACACAAGACGCCTGTAACCTGACAAAAAGAACTCCGTCACCCTACATGCATGTATGTAGGCAAAAAGGATCAATTTTGCATCCTCTTAACGTGCCGAGGACTAGGTTGGCAGAGTTGAGGCCCTCTCGGGTTTCATTCTTGGCTTGACTTGACTACAGTGCAACTTAATAAAAATAAGCCACAAAATCAAACTTAAGTCGCACGACGCACAGCTACCAAGACACCTTGAGGTGAGGCCCTCGTACAGTTTACCACGCTCAAGGCTGTACACCTGGCCCAAGGACACAGGAGGTGTCCTGTTGGCGGACACCCCCGACACCCCCTGTGTCCAATAGTGGACAATAAGCTCTCCCCTTACGTTGACACGAAGGTGTCCAGGAGCTGTGCGACTTAAGTTGCACACAGGTTCTAGAGTCCTGCAACTAAAGTCGCACAGTTGCTGGACATCCTCGATTTACAGTGTAACCACGAGGCCCGCGCCCGAGTCCCCAAAGGCGCCGTGGGAAGAGCCGGTAGGCAACCCACCGGCACGCCCGCATGTGGTACAGGGTACAGTATGACCATAAGGCTTTGGACACCCACCTGGTTCGTGAACTCAGTATAGGAAGATGATGGATGTCGCAGCTAATTTCTTTTATAGGTATACACCAACGACAAAGCAGGTCGAACAATAATAAAATCCGTATTAGACTCTATGGGCTTCAAATATGACAGCAGCACAAACTATCTGAGCAGAAACATGTCGCATTAACAACAAACTTTTAAAAATAGAACTATGTACGAAACCAAATGAATAGACTCTGAAAGGTGGATCGAAAATTCAGAAGTCGGCAAATTGACAATCTTGTCCACGCTCAGTCACAGGAACGAATTTATCTCTTCAATAAAGCATTCCGGTAAAGCTAAAATGCAGAAGAATGCGAGGAAGAAGAAAACGCAAATCACTATGCTTTTCCATGGGACTTCCGTTTTCTTGTTCCCGGCATTCTTCTGCATTTCAGCTTTACCGGAATGCTTTATTAACATACTGTCAACACTGTCTTTCTTGTTTTGTGCTGAATTTCTGGAGGTACAAATTCAATATTGCCGCTTCGGTAAATCGGTATGCGATCTGTGAACTAATGACAAGTATTCACGAGTCCCACCGCGAATAATTTCGCGAATGTCTCGTGTGGCCATTGACACCCCCTGCAGCGCTGGGTCCATCCGTGGGGATGCCATGCCCCCATGTCTCAAGGACAACTGGTCAAGCGGTGTCGAAATTTTGTCTTCACGGCGCACGCCGCCCGGGGCAGGGACTGGCTGACCCCCCAGCCCGCTCGCCAGGAGGGAGGGGGGGGGGGCGCTCGTCTGAACCTACCCCACTCTGCCCACGCAGAGGTACTCGACTCACAGTCGGTAGCCGCTTCCTGGGGTCGACGCCGAGGCCGACGCTCTCCCACGCGCCAAAGCCCAAGCCTGCCAGGAACGGGGCCGCGCACTGGGGTCGGACGGTGATCGCCTGTCACCCGGCGTCCGCACCGTGGACCGTTTCACCTCCAACCTCCACCAAAGCCCCACGGCCCCCCGCCGAGCCACGCCGAGCCCCACCGCACCCCGCAACGGCAAGCCAAAGAGTGAATATGGAAATGATTCCGTGCGGCTTGTACAAACAGAGCCGCGGCCTGCGTCGGCCCCAGGGCGCGTGCCTCGCGCAGCTGGCTCGCCCAGCGGAGCCCAAGTAATGCCTGTTTGTGTCCGGGAGACAAAGGTGCGGCCCGGGCAGCACGCGGGCCGCCTTGACTGCGCGGGCAGTTCGTATCCAAAGGCTGTGTTGGGTCGGTGAATGAGCGGCTGACGCAGTGTTTGTCTATTTGGTTCACAATCATTTTTAAATAAGTGCGGCAACGAACGGCAAAGGGCAGGTCGCTCTGGGCGAGGTTTCAAACAGAGTGTTTGGATTCCAAAATTCAGTACAGAATGACTTGCATGTAAAACATCAAAAATGAAAGTGATACCTAATATTATAGGCAGTATTTTGCGAAAATAGCATCATTATCATACATCACTCAAGTAACTCTGTTATTCAACGAATGTGACATTACGTTCGTTTCAATGTGAATCATGTCACGCTCGTTTGAATGTTGTTTCACATTTGTTTAAACGTTAATTGGCCAGGTCTGGCGCCATTTTAGTATCAATTCACATAAAGTAACGTTCAAATGAATGTGACACAATATTCGAACGAATGTGACACGTTTCACATTGAAACGAACGTGACATAACATTCCTTGAATAACAGTAAATGGCAAGTGACTCGTGCCTTGCAATGTTATGTGCGCACCATTCATCAAACGATAAACGACGCAACCGTTGATTGGTACTCACCGGTGCCGTTGGTGTTCCTCCCGATGATCTTGTTTACGGGGACTCCGGCTGTCACGACGCCACTCATCGGGGACGCCGACGTGGAGGAGGCGATGACGGGGGAAGGTCCGGCGGCGGCGACGGCGACGGCCGAGGCCGCGAGGGGCGTCGAGCTGGTGGTCGTCGTCGACGAGGCTGTCGGCCCGATGGCGTCGGGGGAGGTCGGCGTGACCGGGTCGTTCTTGTTGTGGGCGGGGGTGTGCCTCCCCGACACGCTGCAGGGGCTGCTGCTCCGGCGCCCGTCCATGTCGCCGGCGAGCACGCGGCACACACGTCACCGGACCTGCTCAACCACCACGGGGACGCACGGACACACGGGCACGCACGCACGCACACACACACACACACACACGCACGCACTCGCACTCGGACACACGCACGCACACAATCAGCAGGTCGCGCCCGCGCGCTCCGGCGCGTCCTCCGGGCGGCTCTGGGGCCAAGGCGCGCGACGCGGCGCGGCGAGAGGGGCGTAGCGTCACTCACGTCTCGCGCAGCCGGAGCCAGCGCGCTCACAGCACAGCGCAGGCACAGCGACCACACCGCACCACGCTCCACCCGGCTCGAGCCGAGGCTCGGCGTCCCGGACCCAACCGGCTCGAGCGGCGCCGCTAGTTCCAGCCGCCTCCGCGGGGAGACGGGCAGCGCTAGCGTCACGGGCGGTAGCGGGGGCGGCGCGGGGGCGGGCGAGAGGGCGCGACGGAGGAGAGAGAGAGAGGGAGAGAGAGAGAGAGAGAGAGAGAGAGGGAGGGAAAAAAACACGCCAAGCGCCGGGCGAAAGGGGAAAAAAAACATACGCCTCAATTTAGAAGGGCGCAGCGTACAGCGGGGTGGCGCCGCGAGCAGAGAAGAGCAGCGACGAGGAAGTAGTGCTGCAAGCGAGAGCGAGGAGCAAAGCGAGCGGTGAAGCGGGGTTCACGAGCCGGGTGTCAAACCCGGCAAGCCAACCTCGCGCCAGCTGATCTGTCCCGTGCCGTCCAGCAACACAAGCCGAAACGCTCGCGAAGTGCTTGCGTTCCAGACTGATCTTACATTTGTCCTCACACTTCCTCCTTCCGCCTTCCACGACTTCCCCTCTTCTCCTTCTGCCCAGTTCTTCCCGACCGAAAGACGAGAAAGAAGGGAGAGAAAATGAAGAAGAAAAAAATACCGGCGCAAAACATGTGAGGCATAGAAAGAAAGAGGGAGGAGGGGAAGCGAAGGCTCGCGTATATTGCTGAGAGAGAGGGGGGGAAGGGGGAGGAGAGAAAAAAGAGAGCACTGCTACCCCTCCCCTCCCCCTTCCTGCTCGGCAGTCAGAGGGGTAAGGAGACAGGCAGGGTGAGTGCGCACGGGAGAAAGAAAGAGAGAAAGAAGAAGAGGAAACGAAGAGAAGTAAGAGAGGAGGAGGGAGGGGAGGACACTCGGAAAGGGGTGACGATTGTGGGTTAGGTGCCTGGGGTGGGGGAGAGGGGTGTGGTCGCTGGAGGGGTTGGTACCACCCCTCCGGACGCGCGGGGAGGGGTCGGAGGGGTAGGGAAGTAAAAATGGCTGGCTGGAAGAAAACGGCAGCATGCGCCTTACCGTACAAGTCGTAAACGGGCTACGTCAGCACAGAGCGACCAATTTTGACAGTGGAAAAAGTGCAAAGTCTTCAAAATTTACTAGTTATCGCGAAGGGCGCATGTCATGGTCAGAAGAAAAACAACGGCGGGTCGGTATATGGTCACGAGGGGGAAGGGGCGGGGGTGGGCTTAAAAAGGAAGGGACGGGCAGTGGATGTTGTGCCGCAGAGAGAAGAACAGACGACGTGTCCAGGGGAGGACGGTAGAAAAGGGCCGACTGTCGCCAACGCCCCCAGCACAGCGGGGACGAGAGAAAGCAGAAAAAGGGCGCAAGGTAAAAAAATAAATAATTAAAGCTAAAGTTGCAATGCAGAGCTCTGCCACGGGATTAAAGCTACAATATCAACTTCTGGGCCGTAGCAGACCGGCCCCATGCTGTGGACGCGATTCTCAAGAGTCACATCGGTCACATCATACAGGGGGCGGTCCATATACCTCTTCCTTTATTTTGCTTACTGAGCCGCATGCAGGCAGGGCTGCGAGCGGGCTTGCTTACCGTCGCTCACCTCGGCGCCTTCTGGCCCCGTGCGAGTATGCAACCCGCTCGCTCGCCTGCATGCGCTACAGTATAAGCAAAGAAAAGAAAGGGGTCTATGGACCACCCTGTATAGTCAGGCCCGGGGCAGAAGTGGAACATTGTCCAAAAGTTACTCCACGGACCAGATCGACACTTCTCTCGAGCTCCAGCACCAAATATTATTCACACGGGCCAACGCTGCACAACGTCTTCAGAAGCACCCCCTTGCTGCACCCCGACAGGAATTTCCCACAGCCTTCCGCATCGGAAGACTTTTTTCTGCCCATTTCTTGGTCGCGATGGTGAAAAAATGACAATCCGGATAAAGAGTTGTTGATCAAGGAAATGTCTTATGCTAATGCGCGGGCGGTGCGGCGGCACCAGAACCTGACCTGCAGACGGGATGCATCGGCTGAAAAAAAGTCAACCGGCCAACAAGGAAGGAAGCGCGGTAGTGGTAGTGGGCGAGGAGGGAAGACTAGGGGGATGGTTCCGGGGATGACCGCGGCGGGTGGCCAAAGGATTATGCAGATCTGGCAAAATACGCTCATTTTTAACATGCAAAGGAAAAGTTCTGCGAGTCGGTGTATCGCCGGCCGTGCATGTGACGAGACCAAGCAGAGCACCACAGCCACAACCCACAACCCTTTGATTCGGAAGTTTGGTTGGCTTAAAGCGTTAGATCTCCCCGGGCGGGGCAGGTCCAGCAGAACAGTGATGTTCCTGGGCCTGGTCAGATCTTCCTCCTCCTCCTCCTCCTCCCCCTTTTTTGCGTGATTACGGACATCGCATGCAAAGACAGGGGAAGGATCGGGTTCCGCGCGCCTCCCTTTGTTTTTTGGTTTGTTGTTTTTTTTTTTCGTCCTCCATACCTCGCCTGTTCCTTGTTCCATTACCCTTTCCTTGGCTGTTCATCATCACTTCTTCTCCGTCCTCGCGCTCATTTGCATACAGTCACCCCAAACACCCCGGCCGCCGCCACCCCTCGCCAGGGTGCCCCCCCCCCCCTCCCCTCACCCGGCCCGGCCGGCTCCAAAGGGTTGCTGCCTTGCGTTGTCCGAGCGCAAGATAAAGGATTGTCCGAGGGACGTTTTTTTCTGGTCAGCCTTTGCTTCACCCCTTGGCATGTGCGTGTGTGTAAGTGCGTGAGTGTGTAACTGTGTGTGTGTGCGCGCGCGCGCTCTTTATTCTCCTCATTGTTTCTGCTTCGGGAGCATCTTCGCAGCGCGGGGCCGCACGGCTCGTCTCCGCCGTATTTAAAACGCAGTCTCGCTTTGTCTTTGACACGACCAGCCTTGTTTTTTCTGCTGCCAAATCAGCCAAATGTAATATACGTGCGCGCATATCAAGTAACCCGTGAGAGCCCAAGGAGGTGGTCGAACTGTGCAGCGGTGCTCGTCAACCCCCGGGACTCAATGCGAGAGCTTAGGCTTCAGCAGTAAAATGCCTGACCATAGGCCACTATCACTGAACTTTCCGACGACATTCCTCTCTCTCCTTAATAAACTGCCAAATTGAGTTGAATGGCGGGACAAAATAAAAACTGATTCCGCCCAGGATCGAACTGGGGACCTTCTGCGTGTTAGGCAGATGTGATAACCGCTACACCACGGAATCGCATAGGTGCTGAGACCGGTTGAACGGCCTTTGAGGGGAAGGGGCAGCACACGTAGCGCAGTTGGGGGAGGGGGGACTATAAGTCTGACATGTGCCGTCTGCGTCTCGGCCGCTGACTCGGTCAACGTGAATAGCGCCTGGGTGGGGGCAGAGGGGGCGGGCGGAGGGGGGAGGGGGCATGACATGGCGGTGCAGAGTCCGCGGCGATCTATTAGCCAAGTGTTCAAACACGGGGATTCGAATATCACTTTCCGATGAAATACAAACGCCGGCTCTGAATTCGGTCTTGAATGAAACGAATCTGCACTTGCCAGTAACCCTTCCCCCTCTTTCCCCTCTCTCTCCACTCCTCAGACCCGCACGAAGAAATGTTTAACGGCGAGGCGAGTCGTTCGTCTCTCACGCACCATTTGGAGTTTTTACCGGGCACCCCGTCCTGCCCGCCTCATCGGGCCCCTGGCCCGGCGTCGTGCATAAAGAAGGAGCGATGACGAAAAAATTGTACACTCACTAATCTTCACTCGATATTCACCGCCGTCGCAAAGACAATGGGTCGAGGGGGCCGAGGGGAGGGGAGCACCTGGAGAATAACAGCAGTAAGCCAAAAATGAAGATGAGCCGCTTTTTCCCGCCCGCCGGCTGATCGTCATGTTCCTCATGGCGCCGAGCAAAAACGGTCCACTTTTGAGAACTTTGTGGAATCAAGTTTCAACCTCGATGGACTGGGCGTGTTTTGGGTACATATATGTGGGGTGGAGTCCGACTCGAGTGGGCCTTCCCCTTATTATGGTGGCACTCCTGTAGAAATGTTAGCGCGGCCTAAAATGCAGTCGTCATCAGAGCAGAACAAGAAACAACGCGCGAATGTGACATGACACAAAGCTGAAACTCTACAAATTATGCTTGTGGCCAATGGCAACTCTTCTTTTGCGACGTTCTGACTTCCTTTTACCGCTGCTCGATGATGAGTTCCTATCTTTGCCCCGTGCTACCCCTGGTCCCCGGCTGACCCTCGGCTGGCTGGGCTTGCGTGCGCCTGTCTGCCAGTCTGCATGGTCTGCCTGGCCAGCCACCTGCCCTCGTGCTCATGCTGCCACTCACATCCTGTCCTGTCACCCAGTTTCGGTTGGTCTGGGGTAAGGTGGGCTAAGGTGGTCCGCTTTCGAGGTCAAAGTGGCGGATTGAGGAGGAACGGACTAAATATAATAGTGAGCAGAGCATGCTACAATGAAGATAAGCAAAATTTGGTCCCGATCACGGCGAATTTCTAAAGGGCCCTCCTCGAGAGGGTGCCAACAAGACTTGCATCTCGTTGGGCTCGCTGAGAACTTGGGACGAGACGGGGAGTGTGACCTTAGGGCGCCTTGGGGGCTCTTATTACAACCACTCTGTCAACTCAAATGTGTACCGGGTGTAACTGAGAATACGCAGCAGTGTTGCGGGTTTGCCTACTCTTTACACCCGTAAGGGGCCATGGCCCCTGCGACCATATTGAGTATGCAATCCCGCAACACTGCTGCGTATTCACAGTTACACCCGGTACATTGTATACTTCAAATAAATCGTACTTGGAATGTATACTTTATTTAATGTGCACATGGCATGTATGCTTTAATTAATGTGTACATGGCATGTACACGTTTATAAATGCGTATAAATGCGATAAACTATACTACACTACAAGTATTCAACTTGTAGCTGCACACTTGCAAGTATTTAACTTGCAGTTCCACACTTACAAGTGTTGAGCAGTTGAACACTTAGTTTAACAGTGTGGGCATCTCCACATTAGTATACATGCCACTGTACTGTACAATGTACACATTTCAATTGACAGAGCAGTATGGAATCCCGTTTCCACTGTGATCCTGTGGACCCCGGGGGCCTAAATGTCTCGGACCGCGCAAATCGCTCTACATATTGCTGACTTTATGGACATTTTTTTTTCTTTTCACGAATGTGCAGGGGGTGC